TCCACCTGTACATGGGTTCCAGGAATCGAACTCAGGTCATCAGGCTTGTGCATCAAGCTCTTTCCCTGCAGCGCTGTCTCACTGGCTCATAGCCTTTGGATTTAACCTTACCTCCTCCCCAGCCGTAACAAGAGCACAAACACCGCTTATAGTGAAAACATGTCTGGACTTCTTTGTAACTTAGATCTGGTGAAGATTCCGTAGTCCCTTGTGACCCATGTGTTTAATCCTATCAGCCTGTAATACCCCGTACTTTTAGAAGCTACCCAATGATCACATTTACTAAAAGAAAAAAGAACATCTCTTAGAAGCCCTTTGAACAATGTAACTTCAGAAGCCACCAATGTTGTATATGGGGATAATGCTAAGACACTTAAATATAAGTCTCTCTAGAAGTCTGCACCTGTGTCTATACTGCCCATTTTCTGACTGCCCTTCTGTCCCCTAACACCCACACATCAATCTGTTATCATACTTTCTTTCTTTCCTTCCTTCCTTCCTTCCTTCCTTCCTTCCTTCCTTCCTTCCTTTCTCCCTCCCTCCCCCCCTCCCTCCCTCCCTCCCTTTTCTTTCTTTTTTTTTTTTTCAAGATAGGATTTCTCTGTACTGCCCTGGCTGTCCTGAACTCAATCTGTAGACCAGGCTGGCCTTGAACTCACAGAGATCCACCAGCCTCTGCCTCCTGAGTGCTGGGATCAAAGGCGTGCGCTGCTGCTGCCGCCGCCGCCGCCGCCACCACCACCACCACCACCACCACCACCACCACCGACACCACCACCACCACTGCCCAGTTTAGCACCATTTCTTAATAAACTCCAACTTTGCTTCCTTGGGAAAAAAAAAGAAGAAGTTATGATCTAGTTGTAAAACTGAATGCTGACTGATTTGGTAATATTAAATTCTAACTTAACTTTGCAGGGGTGAGAGTGGTATTGAGTTTTTGCTCTGAGCGCTCCTGGTTTAGGAAAGCCTACTGAAACCCGTGCAGATGAAACCAGCCTGGCTTGTTTCAGAGTTATCCAGACAGGCGGTGAAGATGAAACGGGACCGGCTGTAACTCATAAACTGTCACAGCTGGGGGATGTGGCGTTCACCTCGCTTCTCTCTCTGCTGTTGGACACATTTGAAATTTTCCCTACACAGATAATCCACTTCTCAGGTAATGCAGGTCCTGTACCCCAGGCCTCACAATTCCCAGTCAGAAGTCAGGAGAGACGTTTTGAACAGTGCCATGTTAATCCTCCTCTATATTTTAAAACAGAGATCTGTCCACTTCTTTTTGCCACCAGTAGGGAAATTCGTGAACTAGAAAGAAAGAATGCCTTGCTTTTACTTGGGAAAACAAGCTTTGGGATGTACATGGTCTCCTTCATGGTCATGGGGTGGGGATGGGGATGGGGGTCCAACCAATGGAAGAGGTGCCGTGGAAACCCAGAGCAAAGGCAAGTGTTTAAGGAGCTGCTTTGTAAGAGTTGCTCTCTGGCAAAGAGCACTTGGCAAAGGTTTGAAAGCTGGAGCTGGGTATGGAGTTCAGTTGGTAGAATGATTGACACATAGCACCAGCACCACCTAAACTAGGCATGGTGGCACATGCCTGTAATCCCAACACTGGAGAGATGTGGGCAGAGGATCAGAGAGGTACAAGGTCAGCCTGTGATATACAAGACAAGGTCTCAGTTAAAAAAAATAAAAGATTGTGAAAGCTGAGACTCAGCTGAGAAATTGTAGCCTTTCGTGACCCTCCCAGGCTTACTGTGGCTTCAGGTTACCCATGGGCTGGGCAGAAACTGGAGGATACTGGCAGAGTCTGCTGCTGTCATATTTGATATTGGTTGTGTAGGTGCCTTGCCATGTGTCTCCCTTTCTTAATTCCCAAGCCAGGAAACCACGAGGCTGTATAAGTGTCCCCAGCTGTGCAAGGGGAAAGGGTCCTAATGAGGTTGTGGAGAGCTCTATAAACACCATGAAGTCATATTTGCCAGGCCACATCCTGCACTATAGGATGGAGGCAGGTTTCGTTTTCAACAAGTAGTCCCAGCCACCCACCCAGAAACAATCCTCACACAGGTGAGGATTCAAAGCTAAGAAGAGACATTCTGAACCTGAACAAGCGAACTCATTTTCAAACATTCATTTCTTTTTTAAGGCAGGGTCGCATGTAGCCAAGCTGGTTTCAAACTTACAGCCAGGGATAGCCTTGGGTTCTTGATCCTCTTGCCTCCACCTCACAAGTACTAGGATTACACAGAAACAACAGCATGATGCTCAGGGGGTAAATGTGTTAACTGTGAAAGCCTGAGGTCACAAGTTCAATTCCTGGGACCCATGTGAAGAAACATGATATGGTGGCACACATCTATAATCCCAGCATTCCTATCCTGAGATGGAGGGCAGAGGCAGGAGAATCCAATGTCCCCAGAAACTCACAGGCCAGCAAACCTAGAGTATGCATGCACCTACACACACACACACAGACACACACAGACACACACAGACACACACAGACACACACACACACACACACACACACACACACACACACACACAGACATGAAGGAAAGGAAGGAGGGACAGAGGGAGGGAGCAGGAAGCAGTACTAAAAGGTTCTGGATATGCACCACCATAACCAGCTCCCACTCTTTTTTAAAGGGGAAAGGGCATGTGGGAGACTTCAAACGGGCAATCAAGTACCCTTAGAGAGAATAAGCAGGAGCCAGGTGAGAGAATTAGTAAACCTGTGAGGACCTGCCATGTGCCAGGCACTGTAGGGAATGTGGGGATGAATGAGACACTCCTTACCTCCAAGGAGAATGTAGGAGAGATGGGGAGGAAACAGATGCACAAACTCTCCCAGTAAACACCCAGAGAGAAGACACCAAGGCTTCATGATCCAAGCCAGGTAACTCCGGTACTAGGCCAAAGTCTACCTTTGGACAAATCACTCCATTCCCAGTATTTCATCTACAAAATACTTTCCTCTTGTCCCCTTGGCTATGCCAAGGTTATAGATTTTTAGAAGGCTCAAAACCACTAAAATAAATAAACCATGCTGTTGACGGTGAAAGATGCATGGAGGGTGGGCAAGGCTCTTTTAGACTCTGCAGCCACAAGGGCCTGTGACTGGTGCCAGGGACTAGCTTGCCTGTGTTCAGAGGCCAGGACTGGGGAGGTGCTGTCTACACCCCAGCAGCCCAGGGACACCGGCATCCTGGGCCTTCACTTTTGAAGCTGGTTCCCACCGGGCATCTCATCACACGCACTAGCCCTGCCTTGACATGAACGAGCCTTGGCGAGCCGTTCCGACTTGCCTGGTGCAGAGGGTGAAGGCGCTCAGTCCTGTAATCTTCATAAGTATTGGATCACAGGAGCCAGAGGGACCTTGCAGGATACAGTACCCAACCCTGCCATTTCTACCGAGGTTGGCAGCAGCTCCAGGAGGGAACATGACCCGGCTGTGGCCACTCACCAAGGCGGTGGGATAGGTGTGCAGCAGGCTTGTTGTCTGGGCTCTCCACGTTCCCACCTTATGTTCTCCTGAAGGCCTTGGCCACACTGACTCTGCTGTCTTTAACACGCTTATTTCTCTCGCCCCCAGATATCTAGCATGGCTCTAACTTCTAATGATGACTATGTAGGACACAATTTCCACAATTTCCTCCTTACAGCCTCCCAAGAGCTCAGTTATTTGGGGGGAAATGTCTGCCAGTAGCTTGAAAATCCATTTAATTACCATGGAAGATAATCTTTTAAACACAGATTTACATTCTTTCAAGATTTTTTCCCTGTGGGAGTAACAGAGTTCTCAGCGGTTCTCAAGCTTCCTAATGCTGTGACCCTTTAGTATAATTCCTCATGTTGTGGGGACCCCCAACCACTAAATTATTTCCATAACTGCAATTTCGTGGCTGTTATGAATTGCAATGTAAATATCTGTGTTTTCCAATAGTCTTAGGCAACCCCTGTGAAAAAAACGCTGTTTGAGCTCAAGGGTCGCTGGCCCACAGGTTGAGAACCATTGGTTTATCTGACCCATGGGATCTTTGTTTTTATCCACAGAGAAGTGACTGCTAGCCAGTATTTAGCAAGGAGCATGAGCCCTGCATGATTTTCACTTTTAAGCCTGTTTCTCCTCACCAAGGACTTGTCAATTTTATTACAATAATTAGACTGTAGTATTACCAGGCTTCCCTCCAGTTAAAACCCTGCTGTACTTGGCTTTGTGATCCCAGGCCTGTAATTACTCAATATTTTTCAAGCATCCCTTTGGGGTTGCATCCTGCACTCCAGATGTGGGTATCAGGAGTTTGTATCCCCAGGGCTTCCTTCAGGAACATCACACTGTGAATCCACCAACCTCCAAGACCTACTTGAGCTATGGTCAGTCAGATACCAATTGCACAACCTGACAGAGTTTGGCAGACTCATCCACTTTTCCCCACTAGATCTTGGATGTCCCTATAGTATCCAGCTTGGTGGCCTCAAGACCCAGAGTCATTTCTGGCACATAATAGGTGCTCACTAAGCAGATGGTAAATTGCCGGATGTCACTAGTCTTCATGTAGGGAGGATATGTATTACGTTAACATGGGGATAACGTGGGGGTTGTGTGGGGGCCCTAGTTTCTGGCCTGGGCTACTCTAGTCTTTCATCTTCCACATCACTTCAATGGCAGATGGTTTTGAGATGTTTGCTGGACCTGATTCTACAAGCTGCTATCTCCAGGTCTTGAACAGTTTACCTCTAAAACTAGGGCTAACTCTTCTCCCTAACAGCAGTTACCATGAGCAAATGTGTCAAGTATTTCTTCTGACTCTTCCTGCTCTCTGATGAAGTCCACAGGATGCCAAGGGACCAGTGCATAATACTTGTCTCATGTAGAATAGTGTGGCTGTCTATGGAAAGACGAGGGAATAAAAAGAAACTGTTGTATAAACGGAGATCAAAAGGTGAGGAAAATTCCTTGTGGAGAACTGAGCCTGAGCTTAGATCTCTCCTTCTAGGTCCTGCTGGGGAAAAGAACTGGTCCAAGAAGTACCCATCATGTGGGGGCCTCCTCCAGTCCCCGATAGACCTACACAGCGACATCCTCCAGTACGATGCCAGCCTCGCACCCCTACAGTTCCAAGGTTACAATGTATCTGCTGAAAAGCTGTTGAACCTGACCAATGATGGCCATTCAGGTAAGGGGGAGATCCTGGAGACCCTGAGAGGCAGGTCCGAGGCCCCGTTGACTCTCTGTCCTGACTCTTCCATCTGGCCGGGATGGGCTCCTCTGAGGCACTCTGGAGATGGGGGAGGGGGAGGCTGTGAGTCATGCCTGGCCCACTGTCTTGTGTGTGTGCTAAAAATCCTGGTTCCAGTGATTCTTCCTGGGCAGCATATTTCAGAAGCTCATCTCTTGTGGGAGGGAGAGGGAAGAGATAAGTCTGATCCCATTGGTCCATTGGCTAAGCTGCCAGGGTGAATTCTGAGTCATCACAAACTATCCAAGGCACCAGCAATTCAGTTGCTGAGGGTGGACACTTGGGGTTTAATCAGACAGACTGGATTTGAATCATAACTCTGCTACACACACACACACACACACAGAGAGAGAGAGAGAGAGAGAGAGAGAGAGAGAGAGAGAGAGAGAGAGAGAGAGAGAGACCAGGTTTAGGGTAAGTCTTTCCACCTCTAATAATCCAACCAAGAAAATCCTCACAAGAGTGCCCAGCTGCTTAGGTTGTAATTGATTCCAGATGTAATTAGGTTGACAACCAAGATTAGCCATCACAGATTCTAATGAGCCATCAGACTGGGTAAGAATTTTAACTTCCTTGAGTTGTCATTTGGAAGAGGGACCCACTGACCTGTTCCGTGGACACTAGAGATTGGATACATCATCACAGTCTGTTGTATAGTTAGTGCTTCTTAAAGAGCAATTGTCATTGGAGTATAATGTTCCAACTTGGAAAGTTCTTCACTGACAGTTCTGTTATCACAGACAGGAGCCTGATACATGGGTAAGTAAAGAAACAGCCATCATTGGTGTAGAGTTGATGCTTTCCAGGGGGGTCCAGGAAGGTGCTGGTGCCACTGGAGGTGCCCTGGGGGAAAGAGGCCAGGCGTCCGACCTGCAGGCATTATTGCTCTGGTCTGTGCCTCGTTCCTGCAGCCCCTTGGACCTGTGTGGGGGCTGCCTGCCTGCCTGCCTGCCTGCTCTCTAGCAGGGTTGGTCTGGCCAGGGTTCAGCTGGCCAGGGCTCTGAAGGCTGCTCCTCCATTCCTCACAGTGAGACTGAACCTGAACTCGGACATGTACATCCAGGGCCTCCAGCCTCACCAATACAGGGCGGAGCAGCTGCACTTGCACTGGGGGAACCGCAATGACCCCCACGGCTCTGAACACACCGTGAGTGGGAAGCACTTTGCCGCCGAGGTGAGTGAAGGGCCAGTCTGGTGGAGAGTACCTGGCGCTGGCTCCCCTCTCTGTGGCCATTGGGATAGAGCAGCCTTCACAGTCTCTGTCCTCACCACTCTCCTAGAAGAGAAGTCTAGGAGCCAGGTCTCACTGCCCTGCATTTATCCGGGTGTCTCCGTCCCTTCCTTTGCTGGAGCATACTGAGTTTGCCTGCTCCTTTTACTGTGTGATGCTGTTGGGAAGGCCAGCCTTGCAGATGGCATGGTGGGATGCATGCGGCCCTTTTCTAGACATCCTCCTGCTTTGTGCAGATGAAGACCTCACAGCTCGCCTGGCTGTCACAGCTCATTGCTTAATCATACCAGGCTCATTGCTCCTCCATGCTTTTCAGTCTTCACACATCATCCCTTCTCTTCTCAGCCATGAATAGTACTTGGGAATATGGGAACCCCGATCCAGGACCGTCTTGTAGTTTGCCATAGAGTAAGGGGGTGACTGGCATGAAGATGTGCAGGGCATCGCTATGATCAGAGATTCTCTGAAAATGGTTTGGGATGTGGGCACAGCACTGTGCTGTGTCGTCTTGAGATTCTAAGCTAAAATACCAAAGGGAATGAGAGGAGAGGCAGGATGTTCCTGCTGTACCACAGGCATGGGATGGGGTGGGATGGGCAGGGGTCTTGAGTTCTTCCACTCCAAGTTTTGAGTCGGAGATGTGGCTCTGAGTGTATACAGGGAAACAGATAGGAAGAGATAAATGTTGCTGGTCAGCCAGCAGATCCCATGCTAAATAATGATACAACCGTTCTCTCCTCTGTTCACAACTGCTGAACTGCTTAATGTCTCAACCTAATTATAGGTCTGTTCCCAGTGTGGAGGGGATGTGATTCTGGCCCGATAGGACGGTATGACTGGAGGCGCACGTATTTCAGAGCAGACCCTTCCTTCCCTGGAGCTCAAGAACTGCAATTTCTTGCAAGCTAATTGCAATGTTGAGGCTTCTTCTTCCCCCTGGGAGAATAAAGTAGCAGCTAGGATGTAGGTTTGGAGAGTTTACGCATTTAAAAATATTTCCGGGGTGCTGGAGAGATGGCTCAGCAATTAAGACAGCATACGGCTCTGACAGAGGACCCGAGTTTGGTTCCCAGAACCCATTTTGGGAGCTCACAACTGCCTGTAACTCTACCTTTAGTGGATCTGATGCCTTTTTCTGGCTTCCTCAAACACTGCATTCAAATGTGTGCATGTACACACAACACACACACACACCTTTTTAACATTTGAGACAAAATTTTACTATGTAGCCCTCACTGGCCTGGATCTTACTATGTAGACCAGGCTGGCCTTGAAGTCACAGAAATCCTCCTGCTTCTGCCTCTTGAGTGCCAGGATTGAAGGCATGTGCCACCATGCCTAGCTAAAACAAAAATAAAATCTCTAAAGAATATTACTAATTATTGTATTCTCTGCTCTTAAGTTAATCATCAGACAAAACCTGGTAAAAATAGGCCATAATTGTTAATATTAGAGAAAAAAATCAGGCAGATTCTCTATAGAGATCTCTCTGAAGCTGTGGTTCTTCTGCTGGGTGGCGACTACAGAAGACTTTCTGAAGCCCCTCACCAGGGAGTGCCCATAGACCTAGGTTAGTTTTCAACCTCTTTTTTATTCGTCTGAAAATGGTAAGAGCTGACGCACACCAGAGGGTCAAAGGTCAAACAATAAAGATCTTGGGTAATTTACACAAATAGAAATCTACTCCATGGCGCCATTTTAAGATGGTGTGGGCCATGTAGTGGGCTCTCCTTTATGGGAAAAATGGTGAAGCAAGAGCCCCTGAGGAAGCCTTAGATAACAGAAGATAACTTACAAGAACTAACATGAAAGTCAGATGCGGTGGTGCATGCCTGTAACCCTAGCACTCAAGAGGCTGAGGCAGCAGAGTTCAAGCCCAAGGATAGCTTAAGCTATACAAGTAAGATTCTGCCCACCACCCCAAATGACCCTGGTTCTAGTCGCTACCCAACATTTCACAACCATCTGTAACTCCAACCAATGCCCCTCTTCTGACTTCCACTGGAACCAGGCATGCACATGGTACACAGATATACAAGCAGGCAAAACATCCATACACATAAAAAATAAAATAAAATGAAAAACAGCAAAATGGCTATGTAATGGCACTAAAAATAGACCTTATGCTGAATTTCTTTCAAAAAGGGAGATGGTAAGTGAATAGGAAAAAGAAATTGAGATAAAGATTTCAATATGCAATAGTCTCAAGGGCACAGAATAAAAGTGCATGTATTTTGCATTTAGAGCTATCCACTATAAAGCTTTCTGAAAGCTAGGTGATACTATCTTTAGGATTAAAAGTCAGATTAAGCATCACCAGAATTTATAATAACAAGGGTCATACTGTGTGTCTACAGTTTGTAAATTTAGGGCTTCTCAAAAACTTTTCTTTACTTTAATAATTAATTCCTGAGCTGATTAAAAACTCCACCATTTACAATTTTATTTTGAGAAGATAAAAGTCTGCGTTTGTGGAATGTCGTTTTGTTTTATAGTCTCTGAAAATCTGACTGCTAACCCCAGCTGGTAAAAGCCACGCTGTGATTCTGTCTGCCTGAGGGATAAACGCCAGTGTTTCATGCATTATCAATTATGATTAAGTTGTAGCTGGCAACTGGTTTCCTGCCCCACCCCTACTGCTTCCAGATCAAGTACAGAGATGCCAAATTACAGGAGACCACTTGGCCCCAGGCTCCAGAAAAAAACAAAACAAAACAAAACAAAAAAAAAAAACCAGAAGGGAGAAGAACTCCAAAGCACCAAAGTCTTCTCATGGTTAACATAAAACCCCATTCATTCATTCATTCATTCATTCATTCGTGTCTATTGTACCTCTGCGACTTTACAGGCGCCTTATCAGACACTAGAGATCCCATGAATTAAAGAGGATGTGCCCTGGTTTACAGGTGGAAGAGGACTGGGGGAGGGGAAACTGGGGACAGATGCTAAGGGTGAGGGATCAGTTCTGTTGGGGGAAAAGAGGGACAGAGGTCCATCTTTCTAGCTGGATTCAAGTCTTCTGCAGAAACAAAAGGTTCCCGAGAGTCACTTGTCCCCTCATGGGTACCTTCTCTCCTTTTGCAGCTGCACATTGTCCATTATAACTCAGACCTGTACCCCAACTTCAGCGCCGCCAGTGACAAGTCAGAAGGTCTCGCTGTCCTTGCTGTTCTCATTGAGGTACGAGGTGGTCAGAGGGATGGTATTGGGACTAGGCATGTGTTCTATGCACAGCGATCGGTAGTGAGCTGCTCCTGGATGGCCCTGCGTTGCCTCTAGAACAGGGCTGTTCCTCCGAAGGCTCCTTCTCTCTTTTCTCAGAGGAAGCCTTTCTGTATCTAGGCAGCTGAAACAACATAGCTTTTGTGACACTGGACATATTGAAAGCCCCCCTCCCTTATCCCGAGCCCTGTTGCATGGTATGAGGTCACCTGGCTGGGGAGGGCCCGTGGGGCACACGGATCCTAAGGCTGCACTATCAGATGCGTCTGTCACTGATACAATACCTAGCATCCAAACTCCACTCTGTAATGAATTATGCAATATTGGAAAACAAGAATGGAGCCTGGTATGGTGGTGCATGCCTATAATCCCAGCAGGCTGGAGGTTGAGACAGGAGGATTGTTGAGAATTTGAGGCCAGCATGGACTGCACATCAAGATTTTATCTCAAAAACTGGGGGCAGGGGTGGGGTATGATCAGCTTGCTTTGTTTTCCCCCAGTGAGGCAATATGCTCCCATTCCCAATGTGCTTACTTATTTGGCTTGGCTTTCATGAACTCAAAGCTCCATTAAGTTCCGGGTCAAATGCATTGGTATAGTCTTTGGGCTCCTATCAGATAGCCAGGAACACACCCTATATACTGGGATACTCAAACCTGGTGTCTTAAGCTGAAAGCTAGATATTGTTTGATGCCAAAGGTCGCGACCACTATATTAACTCTCAACAGTCCGGTGATGGGTCAGACTTTCCTTTGTGAGGAGGCAGCTCCTCAGGGAAGGCCTCCAGCCCAGCCTGCGATAGTAACTGTGAACGCAGGCTGGTCCTGGGTGATTCCGTCCCAGCCTGCGATAGTAACTGTGAACGCAGGCTGGTCCTGGGTGATTCCGTCCCAGCTCAACCTGCCTTGTCTGTGTTCCAGATAGGCTCCAGCAATCCATCGTATGACAAGATCTTCAGTCATCTTCAACATGTTAAGTACAAAGGTGAGGGCTGCTTGACTACTTAGTCATTCACTGTGACACAGGATGTGGTCACACCAGCGTCACCTTAAGAATAGCAACAGCGTGGAGGGGGGGGGTGCTGTCTGTGTTGCGTTCAGCACACTGAGAGCAGCAGGTTCCTGGGCAGTGTTGTGACTCTGGGTCAGAGCGCATTCCCTGTGCCTGAATGTGAGTGTTTAAGCTCAGTTACTATGCTGATGCCTCTCCTATCAGGGGGTAGCTGATACCCTCACTCCCAAAATGTCTCTCCAGGCCAACAAGCACTCATCCCAGGCTTCAACATTGAAGAACTTCTGCCCGAGAGCCCCGGCGAGTACTACCGCTATGAAGGGTCCCTGACTACACCTCCTTGCTACCCTACCGTGCTCTGGACAGTTTTCCGAAACCCTGTGCAGATTTCCCAGGATCAGGTAACAAGCCAGGGACTGGACAGCACGTGGTTCCCTGCCCTAAGCTGTTCTAATCAATGACTCGATTTCCCCTGAGATCCATCAGCAGCTCTTCAGAACCTCTCCAGTGACCTGCCGCTGAAACGCTGTAGGAATTACAGACTAAGCTCTAGGAGGAGTTAGACATCACGCTAGGAACACGGGCAGACTTCCCGCGGTTCATTACAGAGAGCTGGAGAGCTGAGTTTGCTGACATACCCCTCAGTGGCTGGGTGGCACCTGCGGTCTAGGTGGAAGAGCCTGGCTGGTGGGGCAGAATAAAGATCACATCAGGTCAACACCTGGGCCCTGGGGTGCAGTGGTGAGGGGGACACTCACCGCCCTTGGAGCTCACAGTCTAGAAGTGTAAGCTGGGGGCGCCCTGCCGTTAGCAACGACTCATGTTGGAAGTCAGGGTTAGAAGTTCTCCGGATCACCTGGCTTCTGAGTTGAGTCACTGCTCACCCGGCTACCCTAAAAGCAGGAAGAAGGAGTGTGGAGAAGGCTGGATGGTGCTGCCTACTAATCACCCCCACCCCAGTTGTTCCAGCCGGCCTCTCCCCTGTCCAACCCCTGCTCTTTACTACAAGTTTCTGAACTGAGAAGCCTCGATAAATGGCAGCTGGTGGGTGGACGGGCGAGGGGATGAGCTGAATCCGAGGTGAGATGTGTGGGGAGCAGCCATAGCCTAACCCAGAAGCTGCCATAGTAACAGATTGTATCATATTCGCGGGGGTGTGAAAATGCCAGTGAGCCTGCCGTCAGATCACCAGCGGGCCTCCTCCCTCTGTCTTTTATTCTGATTTGACTATAAAAACAAGCCCAGCTCCACTGCTCTAAGAGTTGGGTTCCAATTGAAGGTCATGAAAGGAAGAATGTGGTCTTGGTGAGAGGCTAAGGAGTCCTTCTCTTCAGCTTTCCCTTCATTGGGAGCAGATCCTGGGATGACTGGGAACCTTGACAGCAGGAAGGACCCAGCCCAACCCAGCAGTGGCTAGTGAGTGAGACCCCCAGGATGGAGAAGTAGTTCTCTGGCTTTTCCATTGCTTTCAGATACTTCCTGTCAAGCACCTCATGGGCTGATTCCAGAGGCTTGTCCCCAGTCCCCTCCCCAGGAGGCCAGGCCAGCAAGCATTATCTGCTCATGAGACCTGTTTCCATTTTTCCCCTCAGTTGCTGGCTTTGGAGACAGCTCTGTATTTCACACACATGGACGATCCTTCCCCCCGAGAAATGGTCAACAACTTCCGGCAGGTCCAGAAGTTTGATGAGAGGCTGGTGTATATCTCCTTCCGACAAGGTGAGGAAGGTGCTGGGGGAAGGGAGGGGTAGCAGGGTGCTGCCAGATGTGTGTTTCCTACCAAGGAAGCAGTGCCCTTAGGAGACTGGCGAAGAGTCCCCTGGCTGCCAAGGAACCAAAGCACGTCTAGAACTTTGGTGTGGGGGCTACTGCAGTGCCCCTTCACTGGCCTCCACTTCCTTGAGTCTTTGGAGAGAAGGCCAGGACCCTGAGGTACACAGACCAGAGCCCTTAATTCTGGGAGTCACCTACAGGTGGGGAATGAAATGTTCTTGGGGACTTCTCTGCTCTGAAGAATGGTTCCTTATCCTACGACACATTGGAATCCTTTGCGCGAGGAGAGACTTCTAACTTCCCACCCTAGACTCTCTTGGTATCAAGGGCTACATATGCCCTGCCCTAGGCTGAAGGAGGTGACTATATACTACAAGCATCCATAGATGCTTCTTTGTAAGGCCAAGGACATAATCCATGTTCATGGCCACATCCGCTCAAAGTCTAATGTAGCAGGACCCATTAGCAAGAAAGCACTCTGGTTCACAGCTTTTTTGTTTGTTTGTTTTGTTTTGTTTTTTGTTTTTTGTCTAAGCACCAGCAAACACATTCCGAGCTGAATAAAACTTAATAGTTTGGTGTATTCCAACTGCTAGGAACTCATCATTCCTTCTAAGTCTGTAACTGTGGTGACTAGGAGGAAATTAGCGTTTCACTTGCTCAGTGCCTCCATCTGACACTGAAAGTGGTCATGGGGGAGAAGGAGAACTCTTACCATCCACACCCATCTTCACACCTCGGAGGCAACTTTCTCACCATGCCTTCCTGAGCCTTGCCAAACCTGGGAAGCTTGGATGGTCAGAAGCAGTGCAGGTCTGCAGAAGCGGCCCCCACCATCTCCTTAGGTCACTCAGAGCTCAACAGGGCCAGGCGTTCATATTTTAAAACAATCCATAAGCCCACCTGCTAGAGGAGTCATGCACTTCATCTCACCTGATGCTTTGTATTGCTGTTGCTCCTTTACTGTGTGAGATTATAACCGTCATCTGCTCAGTTGAGTCACGAGCCAGTGAAGACTGCCTTTCAAAGCCCTTCCCAGAGGCGTTAGAAATCGGCCCTTCTGAACGGACCCATTGACATGGCCAGCATTATGTTTGTAGGCTATCTCTGTGGGTTATCCTCATGCCCGAGCATTTGTGCCTTGTGTTCTCTCCAGATACCACTCAACTAAGGTCATTCCCCTTCTCTTCCGTTTCTGGGCCTGAAACACAATCTGGGAGCTGGGTGGCCCTTCCTATCCCCTGAGAATGTGTAAGACAGTGACATGACAGCTCAGTTGTTTGCCAGGGAATGATTTGAATGCTCAGGAGGTTTTCATTTGCTCTCCATTATGTTCTCCTTCCTGTTCTTCTAAGTAGACTATGAAGTATGTGGAATTGAACGAAGGTGCTTCAGTTCTCTGTGTTCTTGAGACAAGGTCTCCTACAGTTCAGGCTGCCTTTCAAGCCACGACATAGGTCCAGGCTGGCCGCTGTGGTTCTCCTGCCTCAGCCTCTTAAGAGGTTGGGGTTATGGATGTGAGGCATCATACGCTGTATGGATACTTCAGTTCTTAAATTTAAAAGCCTAGAGGTGAGGACCATAGCCCACAAAGATCAGGCAAGATTTTTGCTTATGGTTCAAGGGATTTAAGAGCTGCCCTCTAATCTAGTCTGTATATGTACCTGAAAGAGGGTAACAGATGCTTTCCCTGAAGTCAGGAGACTTCGGCTCAAGGCATTGCTTTGTTTTCTCCTGACTGTATGATGTGAACAAAGCACGCCGTTCTTTGGCCCTGGTTTCCTTGGCCACAGGATGCCAGGCTGGAGACCCTACTCTGACGACATCCTTTCAGCGCCAAGAAACTACGATTCAAAATGGATACTAACAACTGCCAATCCTGACTTTACATTGCAGGGTCAGTGTTTGGGGGCAGTTACAGAGGATCAGAAGAAACCGTGCAGGAATTTGATTATGACAACTAAAAGTAACCCCCACTTGTACCGATGGACTGTGGCATTGGCGCTAATTAGCCGTCTTCTCAGATGGGCTCAGGTCTAAGTAGCTGCTTGTAGACTGGATCTTTCAGGCAGCTTTGCAGCTGAGTGCTTTGGTAGATCCTGCAAGTCTGGCTGGAGTAGACTGAGAGGGCTCTAGACGGAAGCTTGAAGACTAACCCCTGGCTTAGGACATCAAGCCCAAAGCCCAAAGGTAGCTTTGCCACAGGCCCTCCCGCATGGCTTGATCAGAGATGCTGCTGCTTCCATGAGGCAAGGCGAGGCGAGGCTTTCTCCTTGGAGAATCTGCAGCAGTCCAAGGCAAACTTTTAGACACTGATTATAGAAACTTGGCCAAAGTACTCCCTTCCTCATACTCCAAAACACAGGCAGCAAGCAAGGCTGCTTCCTGAGGCAAGAAGAAGCAGCAGCCCCTCGGAAGCTCAGCTCCTGCCCTCCTCTGCCCACAGGTGCCGGAATCCACAAAGGCCTCTCCCGGCCAACCTGGGGCAGGTCTGGCTAACATGCACTTTCAGGATTATAGCATGGGCCTGTTTGTCCACATGACCCCTGAGTGATTTGGGTTCAGTTCTTTGCAGACTCTTCCATGGAGGCCCATTGATGATTAGGGTCTGTTCTATGCAGTTTCCTTCCAAAGTTAATGAGAGCTAAGGAATCCACACATTCTTCCAGGAAAAGAAAGCAAAGAAAATCTCTAGGAGAGAAAATGCAAGGGCGTGTGTGCTGTGTGTGTGTGTGTGTGTGTGTGTGTGTGTGTGTGTGTGTGTGTGTGTGTTCTGAGATTTAATCAAATTGAAACACATAGGGCTGAACGATTTAACTGCTATTACTAGAACATGCTTATAAAAGCAGCACAGAACGTGCTTTCTGCCTGAAAGGTGCTTATACTTTAGCCATGATGTAGCCCTAGAGAGGGGTTTCTCAACTCTGGCACTACTGACACATGGTGCAGAATAATTCTTATAGTGGGGCCTCCCTTGCCCTGCAGCATTAGCAGGTGTCCCTCATCCTTACCTATGAGATGCCTGTGGCATGTGTCCACTTGTGATATTCAAACAGTATCTCTAGACATTGCCCAGTTCTCTAGGGGAGATGAGGCAAAATGGCCCCATTGGGAACCACTATCGCAGGGATTGGTCAGTGACTTTGTAGGCTTAGGACTGGTTTTCTCCCCATTAGTATAGGATTCTAAAGTTGAGTATCACATGCTCTGATCTTTATTTTTTTAATTAAATTTTTATTTTTATTTTATATGTCTATAGGTATTTTGTCTGCATGTATGTCTGTATAATGTGTATGCCTGGTGCCCCAGGAGATCAGCACAGGGTGTTGGATTCCATTGAACTGTAGTTATAGACAGTTGTGAATCACTATTTCCAACACTGTGCGTGTTGGGAATCTAACCCAACTCCTCTGGAAAATCAATCAGTGTTCTTAACCACAGAGCCATCTCTCGTCTGTATTGTATTATGTCCTGAAAACCTGAGTCTCGTGATGATGACCCCAAACTAACTAACCCAAGAGAAGCCTTGTTCCCATACCCCTTTAGAACCTAAGTAAATATCCTTCTTATATAACCCAGGAAGGCTAGGAGAAGTGGCCAGAGAGAGACCTAGGCTCCCTTGGGAAAGTCTGCAGACCCTTCACCTGAGCACCTTTCTTCAGGGCCCTCATCATCCCTTGTCTCCTTCCTACCTCACTTGGTGGCCGTTTGGATGGCTTAAAGTCCCTACTCCAGATGGAAAGCTGTAGGTCCTGCAGGGGCCTCTGGAAAATGGAAGACTTGAGCTTGCCCTCAAGGTGGGGTGCCAGAAAGGAGACTCACCTAAATTCAGCTCAGGTTTCCTGAGAGCCAGGTACCCTAAGTGAGGATGCTGGAAAGAGCACAGGCCAGGGCCCAGAAATGGGTTCATTTCTTCCCAGTCCATGACCCCAACTCTGAGTCCAAATGGTGATGGATAGTAAGGCAAGAGTCTATCAAACCTAAATACTAATATTGTCTATTTCCTTTTAGGCATGTTGGGGCAGGGAAACTGGAGAGACAAGAAAAGGCCAAAAAGTTTCTATAATCATGTCTTTAGTGGGCCTGCTCTGAGGAACTGCATGTCACTCACTAGGGATCTAGAGCCAGCTGAGGGGCATTTATATGAGTAAGTGTGCTGTACTATTGAGCCTGCTGGACATCAAGGGGGAGGGCCTAACCAATGCCATTTGCACAGTAACATAATTAGAGTCTGCTTATCCTGGACAGACCTGCATAGTTTTAGAAAAACTTTCAAAAGAGAGAAATTTTATCCAGCTAAGATGGATGATTAATTTTTTTTGAGACTAGAACTTATATGCCGTGGTTATTGACCTTGTGTTTCTTCAACTTTCTATTTATAAATAAAAGCTATTAGATGGAAGAGTATCATCAATTCTTCCAAGGCATCCAATGGGAAAACAGAGAACTTCCTACCTTCAGATTCCCAGACCTGGATCAGGGGTCTGAACTGGGAGCAGCAATCTTCAAATGTACTAAGAAGTGAAGTCCCAGTCCCCTCAACACACCACGAGTTTCCCTAGCATGCCCCAGCTGTGCACTATGGGACAGAAAAAAAATCAACCTCCCAAAATCCCACCCCCACCCCGCACATTCCCTCTTGCTCCTGTTGACAAGCCCCTGACTCAGAGCAGGCTGAGGTCAGGAACAACAGCTGGGAAAGGGGCCAGGAATAAGGATGGACCCATTCCTGGTGAGGCCCGGCTGATCCTCCCATGTCAGCTCTCTGTGGCCGCCATCCCTGCCCTCTCAGCCTCAGCCTCCCAAACTGCAGGGCCTCCTAAGACAGGAAGGCACATACACTATTCCTTTTGTCTGGAATGGCTCCCTCTCATTATCAAAGTTCTTTTAAGACTTTTAATCACACTCTCTCAGAAACCCTCCCTATTACCCTGGAGGTGGCTTATTACCGGCCTCTTTCATCTGATTTGTTCATCTCGATTGTGGTATGTGGCATTTAACCAAGTAATTATTTATTACAATACAGTCAAACCAGAGATAGGTAGATAGATAGATAGATAGATAGATAGATAGATAGATAGATAGATAGATAGATAGATAGACAGATAGATAGACAGATAGATAGACAGACAGACAGAAACTGTTATACACTATACACTTACATCCTTACGGAAAGGATGCCTGATGTCTCGCGTCTCATTCCTTCTTTATTCCTGGCACCGCGCCTGGTGCATGTTATAAGCTTGCTAAAAGAATATAACTGACCGTTTCCTTTTCCCTTCCCTCCCCAGTATCTTCTCTCTAGAATGGTTTACACATACACCTGGCCAGTTGTCAGATTTCTAAGTTTTCCAACCATGTTAAAATAAAACCATATGTAAGGGAAATTCAAGACTCGAACCTGCAACTGAGTTTTAAAGGCCTGGAGGAAGTTGCCAACTGATGTCACACTTTTTGTGCCTCTGAGATGACTGGGATATAAGCTCCCCATCCTATTAGCCATCATCCCTTAATCCCTGACAGCCTGGACCACTGAATGCAACTCAAAGTTCAAGAGCTGGCATGGTACCTGGCTCAGAACAGTGTGGCAGGCAGGCTTGCAATCTGGGAGACAAAGCCCTCAGTTTCTATTACAGTTTTATAAGCCAGCTACTTTATAATCTGCCTAGTGGTGCCTTTTTGGTGGGATTCTTTGGAGAAGTTATTCTCTCACTGGATTATACAGGGTTGATGAAAAACATTGCCTGGTTGAAAAATACCCTCCAAAGGCAGCAGCGATGTATGCTTGGTCACTGAGGGTGTTTTCCTAAGCCAAGTACAACTGGAAAAGAACGTTAACACTGCAGTCACTTGACTCTGAGGCTTATAGCCTAAGGGTACAATATAATAATATAATAAGAGTAACTTGTTATCATTCTAAGTCAATGTCATGTTCATAAGCAACCAAACCCCTGGTAAACCTAAACTTTCCTGGCTCCCGTCATAAGACTGGAGACCACTGGAGATATATCATCCCTGCAAAACCTGTTGGCTCTGGGGACTTTGAAATGAGAGATTACATCCCACAATCAAACAGAATTGAACGTAGAACTAGAAAATACTAGACTGTTTTTCCAGGTACTCCAAGATGTGTAAATGAGTGCTTGCTCTCCGGGCTGGACTTGTCTGTGTTTGTACTTGAGGCTTCAGAACACCTCAAAAGCAGTTACCCAGCATCCTCGGTGCAGCCAGATGCCAGTGGAAGAGGCAGCTCCTGAGCCAGCTAGTCCAGGTAGTAAGGGGCCTTTGTGCCAAGCAGTTCCTGACCTTCTCCAGGTGGTCTACCTTCCTGGACAAGGCGGCTGTCTGCACCTGTGCGCAATTTCCTTTTGTGTGTGGTGTTGCCCTATCTCTGTTCACTCTGGCTGGTTCCTAAGTGCCCTCTGGAGGCACTGAGCAGGCAGTGCTCGCCTGGCTTCTCAGCTTGAGTTATCTATCTCAGGAGTCTTTTCCGCTAGGTTCTCATCAGCTGGCTGTCATGGACCACCTCTGAGAGCAAGCCTGTCTCCATTTTCCCCATCTGTCTCATCGTTCTTCTTTAGGAATTACATGTTATTGTCCCTGTTTGGAAACAACTAATTTCGTTGTTTAAGCTGAACACAACCTTCTCCAGCTCAGCCCATCCTGCACCATCTTTGATAACAGTACTCTAGCTGCCCAGAGACTAGCCTCACCTGGCTGAGCCTCTGCTGAGAAATACGTCGCTTTCTTTTTCTGGCTCGAGTTCTCAAGTTATCTAGACATTTCTCCCTATGCCCTGAAAGGCTCATTGCTAGCTCCCTGGCTCTTTAGTCAGCAGATGCTTTGGCCCTATCTTCCGTGGGCCTCAAACCCGCTGAGCAAGGTCTTTTTCTGCACACCTTGGTTGGTACGGCCTAAATTGGCAGGATGGCATTCTAACCACACCTTCCTGCCTTGAGCATCCTGGGGAGGTAGAACTGTTATGGTGACACCCTTTGCCAAGCGTTTTCCTTCCTTGGCACCTTAGCTGCTTTGTTTTTGTTTTTTTTTCCAACATCAACATCTTAGTTGAAAATTCACTTATTCCAGTCTCTGGAACTGTCTTTGTCTTCATTGCTGTGTGGGCCCACATCATTGTTTCCAAAGAGAGACAATTTAGTCCCTGACAGAGTCCACCTAGGAGGGAAAAACTTGGGTTGGAGCACTGGGTTCAATTATGCTATTGTCAAAATACTGCAGAGCAAGCAAGGGGATGCTGGACTCCTCCTCCAGAGAAGCCACCAAGCTGGGCCTCTCTGGAGAAAAGTATCACCGTAGGGCCTAGATCTCCATGGGTTTTGCTCAGCAACCCAAGACCATAGCACACAGACAACTCCTTCAGCCATGTGGTAGGAATGCTCAGCTGTTTGGGCCCATGTGGCTCTCACATGTTATGGTGACTGTGAAAGAGACGGTCCAGCTTGGACAACCTAGCCAGGTGGCTAGCTGGTGATAGCCTTGCGTGGCTGGATCAGCCCTAAAAGCTTCTGCAGCTTGAGGAACAAAATTGTGTTTCATCACAGGGCTAGAGAAGAAACGGCCAGAGCTTAAGATAGAAATGAGCAAGGTCTCTGGGTACCATTTAAAAACAAACAAACAAACCCCCCCAGCAAACTCAAATACTAAGTTGTCCTGCGCTGGGACCCCAGGCTAGGGGGAGCACACAATATGCATAAAATTCTCCCTGAGTGGGAACCTGTCCTATGTATATCTCGAGACATACATTGTTCCCTGTGCTCAGTTTACCAGGGAGGCCTGGGCAGACGATCTGACCAGGGGAGCTACTTAAGAGCTATGAACCCCTGGTGGTGGCTAGTCAGAACAGGAACAGTCCACCTATCCTTGGGGACACTCTCCTGATGTCTACTCAGTTTACTCTCTCAGCAGCCAGGGCTACTCAGGCTTGTCTCGGAGGCTTGGCAGGCTTGGTGTGAAACTGCAGGATAGTAGAGAAGGGGTACAGGTATTATGGCTCCTGGGGAATCAGCCAGACTCTGGCCACAGGATAGGAGAAGGCAGGTGAGCAAAACCTTACCCTGCAGCCTCAGGTCTTGTGCCTCGATATGATGAAAGCCACAAGGGTGAATTATTCCCCTCTGCTGGCACCTCACACTTGGCCAGGGGTCACCTAGTATCTTGGTTCCTATGGTGGGCTATACAGGTGCAGACTATCACAGGTTACCACAGCCTGTCATACTCAGGCTCCCAGTGTGAGTTAGAACGAACACCATGAATAGACAGAAAAGCAGGCAGGGAGGCACACACACTCGTGCACATGCAAACACACACACACACACACACACACACACACACACACACACGCTCTCTAAAGTTTCAGAAAAGCACCCGAGAAGGGGGTGTGTGTAAACAGACTTCTTTAGATGGAGGACCTGGCTGAGAAGAAGAGAAGAGTAGTACTAACCTATAGGAGGCAGGCTAGGGGCCGCTCAGGGAGGATGTTGTGATTGGGGTCCTCCGTTTATTCAGAAAGATGCAGTCACAGGTGACTATGTCCTTGGAGATCCCTATTAGGCTGTGGGATTTTACCTTCGATGTTACACCTGGGTACCCCTTAGAACTCTAAACTCATCCTACTTATTCCTAATAGTGATTCCTTGGGGGAAGTCATAATGCCTCAGTCTCATGACGCAGAGAAGATGGATTGGTATAGTAGAGGAGTTTGTCCAGTAGGACCAAGCAGATGTGGGAAAGAAAGAGCCAAAGCGTGACGTTAGAGTAGTTGGGAGAGGGGAGAAGGCTGGTGGCAGGTTCCTCACTGAGAAAGACAGGTGCCAGAGAAATAGAAAACTTGCCAAGGTAGGCTAATTCTTATCCAGCTTCACTGTGCCTCTTTGGCCACCATGATTAAAAATCAAAGTCTTGCCCTAGCAAAGAAAGTGACTGTGGTAAAGGAACAGGGGATGGAGGAGGAAACAGTATGGATCCCTAGGTGGGAATTTCCCTACCCCATCAACCTAAGACAGGGGTCACCATCCTTAAAATCTGAATAAGCCCTGGAATATCAAACAAAAATAAGAGTTTTATGCTATGCACTGGTCAGCTCCATCATGGTCTGGCTCTAGATTAACCTCCAATCTCTTCTCCCCCCTTTGAAGTAGGACTCCTTACCGACACAGGACTGAGCCTGGGTATGTGCCTCCTGAGTGTGCATGTTACACCTGGGTGATCCCGTGATTTTCATGTGATCTGGGCTTTGTGATACTTTCAGCCCATCTTTTCTGCTTCTCTGCTGTCGCTTTGGCTTCTGGTATCCCTCAAGCTGCTCTCTAATTAAAAAATGAACTGTCAATCAAATGTTTCTCTAATGAAAAGACTGAATCACTCTGTGGTGTGTATGCAAAAATCCCATTTAAGACATCCTGTTGGTTAAGGTTGGAGGGCACTGTTTAAAAACATACCTAAGCCCAAGGTCAGGTGGCTGGTCACATGATCGTGGCCACGGGGTCGGTTGTTTGGGACTGCAGCAGTGAAAATTGGGGGCAACATTGATAGAATCGTCCCAAGAGACCTTACATCCAGCAAGCAAAAGCAGACTGAGATCTTATTCTGTAGCCCAGGGTTTCTCAAGGTGTGGTTCACAGACCACAAGCATCAGCATCAGCATCAGCTGGAGATGTTGGAAAATAAAATGTAGCTTCCTGGGTCCCAGGTCCAATAGACCAAACCAAGTCTCTTAGGGCTGACCTTTCGGGAAGTCTACATTGTGAACATGATCCTCAGATGATCCTTGTGCAGCTTGGAGAGCCCCTGAGGGAAAACCACTGCAATTTGCAGGCGTCCCCTAAGCATTCCAGCCAGACAGTCCCACAAAGCCAGAGGCCAGAATCCTGAGAACAGAGGTGGGGGACTCATAATGCCCTGAGGACAACTGTATATCTAGGACATCATTTCACACCCATGTGCTCCGGGGATCAATGAGGAAAAGGAGGAATGTGACATGTGCTCCCTGCCTCCTCACCAGGTATCATCCTTTCCGTGGTCCTGGCTGGTATTCTTGGCATCTCCATTGTTCTGGCAGTGTCTATTTGGCTCTTCAGAAGGAAGAAGAGGTAAGTTGGTTTGGATTCAGAACTCCCATTCTGAATGTGTGGCTTATGTGCCCGTGATGATTGGTCTCTCTGGAGAGACAGCTCTGCAGAAGGAAGAGCTCCTGTTGTATAACCCACGCTACCCTAAGAGTGCTGCTCTCCAAACACCAGTGTCTAGCTCCTTGCATGAAATACTGGTCATTTAAGGGTGACGGTGCTCAGGTGTGCTGGTGACTCTACCAGCCTTTCTCCATTACTGGTTAGCTGTGAGACCTTAGGCAAGTCTTCCGATGTGTGTTTGCCTTGGCACTAAGATCTTTCCATCTGGTGTTTCTTCTATGAATCCAAAAAGAAAAATGAAGAAAAATCTGGTCCCTCACTCATATTAGCTATAAATGCCTTTGCCCATAGTTTTATTGCCATGCTTGGCTTTTCTTAACTCAATTTATTTTTCTTGGTATGGAAAATAAGGTTTCCAATTATGGCATCAGAAGTTTGAAGTGGGAGTAATAATAAGACTTGCTTCAGGATGCAGGTCTGCTATGACCAGGCCTTGCAAACAGAAAACAAATAGGTTCTGTTTTAGTTAAAGTTTGGTGTGACACCATTTTCTCCCAAGTCCAACAGAGGAAAAGTCCCCCAGAGAGGAATCTGGACTTCCAAAACTCCTTTATTCCATACCTGCGCCAGGCTGCTCTCTGGCTCCCTCTCTCTCCTCTTTTGACTAACAAGACTTGTGTTCTTATTGTTCCTGTAGCAGAAAAGGTGACAACAAGGGAGTCATTTATAAGCCAGCCATCAAGAAGGAGACTGAGGCCCACGCCTGAGGTCCCTGGCATTCTCAGACATCCAAGGAAGGACCTTGCTTTGGACACTACACACTTTGGCTCCCTGGACACTTGAAATACCTCCAGGTGTTCTCTCGAGCCCAACTGTCACCCCTTCCCCAGACTCTTGAGAGGCTTCCAGCTGGTCCTCCCCTGTTCTGCTGTCACAGCCACCCCGGGGTGACCAGTGAGTGGGATGAACTGAACTAGGGGGCAGGAGCTTTCAGTGGATTTCTCTAGCTGCGTGAGATGACTGGAGATTTAGGATTCTGGGTCACAAACCGAACCTGCTGGTGGACTATTAGGGCTTGGAAACCACTTCCATCCTAGGTTCATCTTGATACGCCCCCAGTGCCATGGACATTCCAGTTATTCTCTGACCTTCCAGACCAGAGCGTCTGTCCTTTGCTCGGGTGACGCTTTTGAAACTCAGCTTCCTTCCTCAGTGAGGAGCTGTCTTCCTTGGATTTCCTTCTGCCTTGACAGACCCTCCAGCCTGACCTCATGCCTATGGGGAAGAGTTGCGACAGGAAGCATCAGATGATCAGAAAAAAAAAAAAAGAAAAACTATAATATACTAGGGCATTTCCACAGTCCTGTCTTTTGGGCTAGAGACACTGACCAAACCTTACAGCCATGCGGGCTCAAGTTCTGTCTTAGTGGGGATAAAAGGGAGACAGGGGAAGGGGAAGCGGAGGCAAGGGGAAGGCAGACACTGTCCAGGAGTCTTCCTCTGGAGTCAGAACTGGAATCAAGAGACAGTGGAAGAGAAACTGAGTCTAAGTTGCCGCCTACTTAGCCTCAGGAGGGCAGTTGTGTTTCATATCCTACTCCATTGCTTTCTCTCTCCTGGAGTAGATGGGATTTATGAATGATCTGCTCTGCTTTGAACCCGTGGGAAACAGACAGAAGCAAGACTACTGTGCAACTTTGTCTCTTTTGCCCAAATGTCAGTTCAACCTCCTCTGATATCCCTTCTGCCAACTCAGGGTCACGACTGTCTACTCCTCTGGCCGTGGAGAAGTCTAAACGATGTTCGGTCAAAATGTATTTTCATACTCTCCAAGCAGGAAGCTAGCTGCACAGAGCCAAACCAGGTCCTGGTATTTAAGTACCCAAACCAATGGAATGTTCCCAAGATTCTCCCTGTCCTTCCCTCTCAGTCACAGAGTTTCTGAGAATACTTCATTCCTTCTTCATGTGCCTCCCACAGAGGCGAGAGCTCTGTGGAGAGCAGTCAGCTCCACGGCTCTACAGGAGCCTCAGCCACCAGCCCCTGATTGCTAGTTCCTTGCAGGTCTCTGATTTTGTCTCATTTTGACAGCATGGAATGTCCTCTTGAAGCACAAGGGGTTTTTTTTGTTTTTGTTTTTGTTTTTTGTTTTTATATCTCTTCCCTTCTACTCCTTCCTCTGATTTGATAAAAAAAAAAAAATCTTTCTCTACCATTACAACTTTTCATGGTGGCCAGCCCCGTGTCTTTGTAACATAATTCACTGGGCGAGGTTACAGGTGACCCAGTGGGGGCTTGGCTGTGTGTGTGTGTGTGTGTGTGTGTGTGTGTGTGTGTGTGTATGTGTGTGTGTGCGCGCGCGCGCAGTGTACGTGCCCGATGGCATCATCACAGTAAGGACAAGCAGCCTCAAGGAGCGGCAGCAGCAGAGTTCAGGGGCCAGAACCATCAGCCAGAAACTAGCATAAAGCACTCCAGGACAGCAAGACTGTCTCAAAGAACTATGCACCGACCAGTTATGTGAGAGCACAGCGAGACTGCCGTCCCTGGCACGAAGCCTGGTCCCAACGGGAGATGTGGTGGGAGGTGAAAACAGCGGCCTTTCTCCTTCCCTCTTCCCATTCAGCATGGCCCAGACATTCAGTCCTCGTTCAGTCCTCACGGCTGAGATGAAACAGAGCCAGGGAGGCAGACAGAGTGCTCCGAGAATCAGCGCTGTCAACCTGTAACTCTTGAAGATGCAGCTTTCTTCGTATTCCCAGTCATTCTGGCCACCACTGAGGGAAGCCAGTGCTGTGGGGTGTGAAGCACAGCTTGCCTTACACGCCTTAAGTCGGCTGTGTGAGGTGTAAGGTGGGTGCCTAGGAGAGCCTGGGTGGGCACAGGGCTGGGCACGTGGCAGGTGAAGAAGACCAACACCGGGCATGGGCGGGTGGGGCATGCACCTGGGACCTGGGGGAGGCACTGGTTTCTGCAGTTTTCCTCTGCCTCTAACTGGAGAACTTGAGTCTCGCTGTGGTTTTTCAGTATCTGTCATTATAGTAAAACATGTATCCATGGCTTTAATGGTATTCTAGAATTTGCTGCACTGACTGTCTTAATCATATTTCTATTCCTTGTCCTCTCAGTACTCTTTGAAGGCCTCCTGATTGGCCCTGAGAAAGTACCAGGGGTGACAGTACCCTTGGGTCCCCCCTGTGCCTCTCATCCATAGGCCACTGTGATGATGGCCCGTTTAGCACTTCTATATTTATTGTACCAATGATTGTAATGAAGACATACACTGAAAATATAAGAAATTATAATAAAAATGTTTTTCACATCAGACTGATTTTTTTCCCCCAAAGGTAAGAGTGGATGAGGCATTTCTTTTGGTGATGAGTAACTAATGAGAACAAATGGTCTTGTCCTTTGCATCCAGCTCTTAGAATCTGGCTCTAAAGGAAAACACACAGATGGACTTAGTCATTCAGGATGGAGGGGAATGAAGATATATGGTGTGTATAGCTCTGAGTCATGTAACTGCTTATTAGTGAGGCTGGGAAATCCCGAGTAATTAGGGGAGGGCTTAGGGGGGGAAACAGGGTATAAGCTGGGCCTTGAAGAACAAGTCACAGGATGCCTGCTTTCCCAGCCATTGAGAGGCTGAGATAGGAACATCAGGAGGCGAAGGCCAGGGACTGGAGAGATGGCTAAGTAGTTAAGAGTACTTGGTGCTCTTGCAGAGAACCGAGGTTTGCTTCCTACTACCCACGTCCAGTGGCTCACAACCACCAGGGAACAGGTCTATGTCTCTTCTCACTCTGAGAATGCTGCAAGCAGGAGGTGGATGGCCTCTCTCGACTGCCGTTCCCTTACTTTGAATCCTTTTGCAAACATGCTATCACCTTTTGTCTAAATCTAGACTTTACACACTGCTTTGCTAAAGAAGAGGCGCCATGCAGGTTACAATAGGTCCGGTCATTGTTTGCGTGTGTTATTTAGAGAAGCCTCCAATTTTCACTCTATTCACGAACAACATGCTCTGGGAGGTGGCACAGCAGCTGACCCAGCTTCGGATTAGAAACATTACAAACCATGGGTATTGACGGTTGCTTTATTGAGAACCAAAGCCTTCTCCAGCTCTCCGCTTTGACATCCTCCCACGTGTCATGGGCAGTTGCAGGGATGCAGACAGGTTGGGAGCAAGACATAGAGCTCCCTGAAATGCTTGTGTTGGATCTGCTCTTATGTCTAGGCAGGAAGCTGGGAAGGCACTTCCTGAACCAGGTAGTGAGTATCTCCTCTCTCTGCAGCCTTTCTCCCCATTCTGTACAATCAAGACTCATCTGGGTTAAGCCAGGAAAGTGTGGAGGTGGGAGCTACCAGTTGCATAAAGCATTTAATTCTTCCCTCAGCTTGATCATTCCCTCCTCCAAATATAGATAAAATTATCTAAGTTGAGCCTCGAAGAAAAAGTCACAGGATACTTGTGTTCCTGGCCCTTGGGAGGCTGAGGTAAGGAGGATCAAGAGTTCAAGACCAGCCAGGCGGTGGTGGCACATGCCTTTAATCCCAACACTTGGGAGGCAGAGGCAGGTGGATCTCTGTGAGTTCAAGGCTAACCTGGGCTATAGAGTTGAGTTCCAGGAAAGGCTCCAAAGATACACAGAGAAACCCTGTCTCAAATAAATAAATAAATAAATAAATAAATAAATAAATAAATAAATAAATAAATAAATAAATAAATAAATGAGTTTAAGGCCAGCCTTGACTACATAACGAGACCCCATCTTGAAAAGAATGTAGATTTGAACAGATGGATGGAAAGGAGGCATCCCAAACCAAAGGACTATGAATGTACCATCCAATAGAGACAAAGTATAATGCCACACACAGCACACTTTAGACTTTCTAGAATCCACACAAAAAAAAGGGGTAAAGAAACCAAGGACATTTTAATAATCTTATATAATCCAAAGGACCTGAGATAGTGTCGTTCCAATATGTAATCAGCACTTTAATGGGATATTTCAATTATGCTATCATCTACCTTTAAAATCTATTGTATATTTTACATGTGCACCATATTTTACTGTACAGGGAGGGGCAGGTCTAGAGGACCAACTTGGGGTTAGAAGAATGGAGATGGGAGACAGATTATAGAGGACACCAGAGAGGTCTGAGATAGGAGGAATAGGAAAATCAAGCCAAGGTGAGCAGGTTAGCACCAGACCTTGGGCTTGGTTCCTCCTCTCCTCCTATTTCTTCCTTGTAGTATCAGCAACTTCTTAGTCCTCTTGACCCTGGATACTGCCTGGAGGGTCCAGGTGCAGAGGAGTGACTTTTTTGCCTAACTCCCACTGTAGCTGGTGCCTGCTCATCCTCAGTAGGACCTCCCCTTCCTCTTTCCCTCCCCCCACCTCCATCTCCTTAAAGTCGTTAGGTCCTTCCACCTACAAGGCATTTCTAGGCTCTGGGTGCCAGCCAGGCTGAAGAGGCTGTGTTCTAGCAGAGTCATGCACACATGAACTCTGTTGCCTGCATGGTTCACGTCAGAGAGTCACAAGTCTCACGAGGCTCACTCCCAGGAGGAATGGAGACCTCTGGGGCGGTTGCAGAAAGCAGAGGCACCGGCCTTAGTCACCATCTGCAGGATAGATCTGGGTATGGCCACACTGAGCTGCCGTCTACTCTGAAGGTCACCCAGCCAGGGGCTCACAGTGGCTCCTAGGACTGAGATTTGACTGTCGCAAGGTTGCAGGGAGATGTGAGGCTGGATGCCATGGGGGAGAACCCTGCTCTACTTAGGCCCCTTCATTACATAATGACTTGGCACAGATAAGGACCAAAGTGCTTTGCTGCATTGAATGATTCACCATAAAAGTGGCATGCATTGGACTGAACCATTATGATTTTAGGTCAACCAGCAATTTGGTAGTGCCTTGAACAGCCTTGACTTGTATCCCATGATGTGGTCACCCAGGGAAAGGGTGCCTCCATCTCCTAAGTAGGGAAGAATTATCTGGCTAGCTAAAGAGCATCATGGTCATCAGAATGAGGGTCCCCTCCACAGGACTCATGAAAGCATCTTATTTTTTTTAATATTTCATTTCTCTCTCTGCTTCTGTCTGTCTCTGTTTCTGTCTGTCTGTCTGTCTGTCTGTCTGTCTGTCTCTCTCTCTCTCTCTCTCTCTGTGTGTGTGTGTGTGTGTGTGTGTGTGTGTGTGTGTGGTGTCTGTCTCTCTCTTTCTCTCTCTCTCTCTGTGTGTGTGTGTGTGTGGTCTCTGTGTGTGTGTGTGTGGGGGGGTGGTGTGGTGTGTACATGTGTGCTCAGGCAGTTGCCATAGTACGCACACAGAAATCAGAGAACAACTTGCAGGACTCATTTTTCTCCTTCCACCATGTGGGTTCTGCGGGTCCAACCTTGGCCTGCAGCCTTGCCAGCAGGCACTTTCGCTCAGAGCCATCTCTCTGGTCTGGAAGCACTTTCTTGTAATAGAACCCACCATCCTTACCTCAATCATGCAATGATCCTGTAGGCTGAAGGCACTAAATGATTTCCAGGAAATCAGTAACTTCCTGCCTCCAGCCTGCTTGGTGACATTAAGCTCTGACTTCCATTTAGGTACAGTCTGATCCGGCACCACCAACTACAGCTGGGTACAGAAGTTGCCTCAGCTCCCAGGGTATTATCTTTACCACTTATTTTAGTAAAACTAAATTTCCACGGCCACGTTTATGGGGCTTTCTCTTTTCCTAAGGCAAGGCTAGAGAAAAACACTAAATACACACAGTGTGAGTGTGTGCTTCTCAGTCAATATTTAGACATCACTTCATATGAGAGAATTCAAAAGAATAGAAACATAGTGACAGGAAACAGATTAATGGTTGCCTGGAGAGGTGGAGTGGTATGTGTGTATGTGTGTGTGTTTAAGGAGTATATGAGTATAATATAAAGTGTATGAAAAGCAGCTGGACTGCTGGGTATGTTCATTATCTTGTCTTGGTTTCTCCATGTATGTCAAGGATGTTCAAATTTTACACTTTAAATACAAGCCTTATTATAGCAATTACATAACTCAATAAATATGGAGGGAAAGGGGCAACCACATATAGGCAAACCACACCTTATCTCCTCCTGGCCACCAAGCAGGAGAGGTTTGGCCAGGGCTGGCCTCACCCTTCCCTTGGGCTCCGACCATGGGAAGAAACATGATCTCTATTCACTTGCCCAGCTGTGCATGACCTTCAATATTGTAAGTCAAACTCATCATTTCCACCTGAGTTCACTCCTTTCAAACATTAACTCTTTTAATTGCCTACAATGTGGACAACAAACACAGGATCTCTGAGTTCAAGGGCATAGCGAGACCTCTACAGCTACTCAGGGATGATACAGCCAGGCTTCTCTTGGAGAAGCAAAGACTTGTCTAGTGATGTATATAATGTAACTAGTTAGCATATCTGATTAAACCAGGTCTCACATATCTTAGTGTCTTGCCTTATGACTCACATAGAACCATTTGAATCCTTTCCATGGAGGACCATGTAGCCATTAACAAACACAGCTCAGGAGCTTAACGTTCCCTTTTAACCACCAGTGAAATGAAGATAACATCCTTCCTATCAATTAAAGTCATTTTCAATTGACTTTCACATATACCATCTCATTTGACAGCCAAGATTTAATGAGCAACTATTGTCTGCTAGGTGCAGAGCAAGTGGTGGGGACTCTGGCATGATTGCGACAGGATCTCTCTATCAGTGAGCTCACCATCTCACTTAGGGAGACAAAAGGCACTAACTATAACATATAGCAACCTGAACACAATGCTATGTTGTCCATTACAGAAGAATGGCTAGAGGAATAAAGGCATATACACAAAACTGAATTCTACTCAGCAATAAAAAGTGGTAAGTACTGATTGATCTTCACAAAAACAAATGAATCTCGGGAAATTGTTGCGCAAAAGAAGCCAAAGACAGAAGTATACTTCATATTATTCTAGTTATATAAAGCTCAAAATTAAGCAAAGTATTTTTGAAAATTAAAAAATATATGTATTTGTGTGTGAGAGAGAGGGGGGGAAGGGCATGTAAGCTACATTGGGCACATGGAGGTCAGAGGACAAGTTGACTTTCACGTGGGTTCTGGGGAATTGAACTCAGGTCACCAGGCTTGTGTGGCAAGCACCCTTATCCATTGAGCCATCCTGATGGCCCAAAACAAGCAAAATTTATCTCTGACGATAGAAGTGAGGGCCACTGGCTGTGTCAGTGTGGAGTGGCTTGAAAGGAGGAGGAACATCCATTGGGAAGGAAATATTCTGTCTTGGCAGGAGA